TTTTTTTTTTTTTTTTTTTTTTTTTTTTTTGGCTTTTTTTCAAGGTGCGAGTTGATAACTGAAGAGATATAACTAGATTGTATAAAGTTGATTCACTTGGTTTCGGTTTTTTTCTTTCCCTTCACAAATTGCTACAGTTTCTAATCTATAAAACTTCAGAGTAAAGGGAACATCAAGAGTGGCATATTTATTGCAGTAATAACTGTATGCAATGGAAGTTGAAGCAGTTGATCCAGGTCCGTCGCATAGTGTAAAGCGTTCTTTGGATACCAGATCGGACACTAACTGCGAATTAGATGGATCTGCAAAGAAAGGAAGACTGAAACGAACAGTAAAGATAGGTGATGACTGATGAGTATTTTTGGTCCTACAGATGCTTTAGAATTTACCATTTGAGTGTAACAACTTATTTGCAGCTGTGGCAGGATGCTCTCATGGTGAAATGGATAAAATTTACGCCTGTATTGATGAAATTCAGAAATCTAAAGGCTTTAGTGTTGATCTCTTGATATGCACTGGTGACTACCAGGTATTTTTGTTTTGCTTTTTTTTCCCTATCTTTGAAACCTAGTACTGTCTAACTGTTGACATCAGCTGAAGAACAGAGCAGGTAATACTTCGTGAGCGAAATAAGATTGAGTTCTAGACGTGATTCGCTTCCAGTTATTTCCAGGCTGTGCGAAACTCAGGCGACTTGGAATACATGCAAACTCCACCCAAATATAGGAATCTGCAAACTTTTCATCGGTACTATTCTGGTGAAGCTGTCAGTCTTTTATTTTTGCTTTCTGTTCTAAAAATTGAGCTTTTTCGGTAAACTTTTCGTTTCGAGTTTGACGTTTTATTCCTACTGAAGTGCTTTATGCACATTCCTGACCATTGGTTTGTTAAACGCGTCTCTTTTACGTCTCGGTTAAGTGAACCTGGTGATTCTCTGATTTTTCAGATTGCTCCTGTTTTAACGTTGGTAATAGGGGGAAATCACGAATCATCTGGTTATATGCAGGAGTTACCATACGGTGGATGGTTAGCACCAAAAATATACTATTTGGGTCACGCTTCGGTTGTCTCTTATGCTGGTTTGCGAATAGGTGGTCTTTCGGGAATCTATAAGAGCATTCATTATGACATGGGTATATTTTTTCGCGCAGTCTTTAGTTTAACTTTTTTTTTCGTTCACAGCTTATTGCGACGGAAATTCATTTCTGTTGGAGAAATATCACTTTACCTAGGCTGTCGCTTGGTTTTACATTGTCAACTCGCTTCCAGGTAACCTCAACTTCCTCTCGTAACAATCTTTTGGTCTAACTTCGCCCTTTTCCTGCTTTTCTCCCGCATTGCTTTTCTCCTGATGACCGCAAAACGCAGAAAAACCCCTGTTTTAAAACTAACTGCGATTAATACTTTGTGACCTTCTGTGGCCTATTGGTTTTAACATATCCGAAACGTTCATTCCGTAATGCTCATGCAGTTATTAAAGTGTCCGATAAGTCAACTATCCAGTTATACTAGTTCACTTAGAAAGTTACCCGCTAAATTATTCGCGGACATGTGTTTCATTGGACCCTGTGACAGTTGTAGGACAAATTTCGCCGTCTGGGACGTTTAGTTCATATGAAGCCTTCAATCTTTGTAGTAATTTAGAAAGGACTCATCTGCGTGCGCTAGTTATTTTAAGGGGTATTGGAGTTGTGTGTTTACTAGCTAACGAGTGGTGATGCGGTTTATATGAGCCAAAGTACAAAACAGTCTTTTGTTTGTTTTAACAAAAGTCTCATTAGTAGTAGGCATGGTCAAAGGAAAGTTTAGCCCGTTTGCGAACTACTTGTCATAGAATGATCAAGCTCCAGCCAAAGAAAGTTGGGCACGTAACAGCAGATATGCATTTCCTTGTTGGCAGGGTTTTCAACGATGAAATTTTGATGGAATACTTCCGATTTTTTTTTCATTCAACTTCATTCAGGTCATTTTGAACGCCCTCCGTTCTCGCAGTATGGAGATTTAGTCTCGGTATATCACGTTAGGTCAGTAGACGTTTTTCGATTGAAACAGTTGGAACCTAAGCCGGATGACAAATGTAAGCATACTAGAGATTCTCAACTGTATTACTTTTTTTTCCAAAGTAATATTTATCCAAATATTGCAGACCTAAAGAAACTTGACATTATGGTATCACATGATTGGCCATCTGGTATTACCGATTATGGCGATGTGGAAGCACTGCTTAGAATTAAACCGCATTTTGCTGATGATATCAAAAAGGCTGCTCTTGGGAATCCGGCTACTATGAATTTGTTGCATGTAAAGTTTCTGAAGCGCTGTTCATTGTGAAAGAGTTCCTTGGATTAAGCTATTTAGGAATAGCATGCCCGCCAGTAAAATGTTTAAACGATAATACTTGTCCAGGTGCTTCGTCCGCGGTACTGGTTTTCGTCTCATTTGCACTGTGCGTTTATTGCTCTTGTTCCTCATGAGGCCGCTCCGGATGACGAGTCACCAGAATTTACTCGTTTTTTAGCACTTGATAAACCTATTCCAGGAAGACGATTCTTACAGGCAAATATCTTTTTTCCCATCTTTTATTTAATCTGGCCTTCACTCGCTCGCCACGCTTGGTCTAAATTGATTCTTAGAGTTTATTTTCTAGATTCTGGATGTTGAGACTGATAACGACGTCGATAAAGTTCTTAGATATGACCCTGTCTGGTTGACAATTTTACGCTTAACCGATAAATTTACTTCTGCTTCCAACCGTGTTAGTCCTTTTTGCCATTCCATTGAAGTAGACTCGTATTGACAGTTTGATTTTTAGGATTTAGTAAAATGTAAGTGCTGTTTCTTTGTTTCAGAAGAGTTACATGCCTTCATCATATCCTCCTTCTGACGAAAGGTGGGATTATAGGCCTTCGGAAGACGAAGTCACAGAAGTAATCAAGCTATTCAACAACAATCTCGATATACCGGAAGACTTTGTCAGAACAGCTCCACCAGAAAAAGTATTTTCTACGTCAAACCGGACATCTGAATGTTATTACAGGTTATTCACTTAGAATATCCAATTTTAGCTGCAACTTCTGCTCATATAACTTATGCAGAAAGTTTATGGATTTCGCATTTCAGTGAAGCGAATGTGAAGAAAGATTGAATAATGAAAGTTTTAGAAACCCACAGACTAGTAAGTTTTGTGAGAAGTTGGGAGTACAGGATCTTAATGGTATGCTTTGTGCTTCTTCACCGGACGATGTGGGAACACCATATTTTTTGTCTGAAACGCAAGATATCTGTAAGAACGAGTCGGAGTCACTGAATGAACAGGCAGTTGATACGGTAAGCTTGATTGCATAAAGTTTCATGCGAAGAAAAAATTCAATTTATTAACTTTTAAAGTTTTTAATTTGGAAATAATTCGCCCCTAGTTTCACTCAAGCTCTATCTCGGTTGAAGCCGATTCTACAAAACTTTTGAAGGCCGCTCTTTTTCTGCGTTCCTTCTCATCTACAGGATGTGATAACTGAATCCTTTACTTCCTCGCTACCTACTGTTAGCGTCACGAACCTTCAGTAGTGTTCCTTTTTCTCGTAGGCATCACTTCTTTCTTACTGTGTTGTTAACATGATTACCACTCATAACTTATTATTGGGGTGAAGTAGAAAGCAGTTCCTTTATTTAACAGACGTTTTCACACGGTAGTAGTGACTGTTTTTTTAGAAAATTTCAAACTTTCTAGAACAGAAATCCCACATCCTTTGCATTGCATTTGACTTCATTCAATTCTAAGGCAAAGTTCCCACCGAAGCCTTCCATACAATAATTTTGAGCAGTACACTTCAGTAATAACAGCGCTCAAATGACTTCTTCCAAGGAAAAATCACTTT